AGAGAAAGGTGGGGGACCAGATCTAAAATTTTAGCTTCGGATAATTAATAGTTTATGAGATATCAATAAAAAAAACTTTTCATACTAAACATTAAATTCTGCTTATACAGATAGCATACACAGATGTAGTTAACACTACCACCACTATTTATAGGTAGTAAGTATTGTTGTCAACTGTCGATTAACCGATGACAGAACAATGTAGACTGCCGTGTCTGTTGGGTCTCCCATGCAAAATTGGCCTCTCCTTTTAAACATCAGTGATAGAATGTAATAATAGTGATTGGTTGACCGCCTCCAACGAAGAGATTAAATAATATATCTAATCCATTTCATAATTTCATCTTTTTTTGCGTCTATATACATATGTATGTACATGGAAAATAAATTTCGTAAAATTTTTTTATTAATATCTTAAAACCTATTACCGAAGCTAAAATTTTATATTTGAGATCCACTCTCCCTACTCTCTCACTCTTGCAAATTTTGTGTCGATCAGCCGCCGGTATTATTCGAAGTACAACCGAAACTCAGTAATAAAAATATATTTAAATTCTAAAAATTAATTATTTAAATAAATAAAAAAAATTCAAGTAGATCCAAGTACTTTGTCGAATAGTACTTCAAACTTTGAGAAATGATTTGTATCATTCTATCCTCAAAAAAGATCTAATTTCTTTAAATTTTACTAAACTAGATAAATTAATATATTTTTTCACTAAAATTATCTCACTGTTTTCTACAAATAATATTTTGCTTCTTAATAAAATACTGCATTCTAAACCAAAGTTCGTTATTATGAGATTTAAGAGTTATCTTTATTCATCACCAAATGACTTAAGATCACCATCTTTATTTATTGTCAGGTTGAGTCTATTGCGGGGAATAATTGAATATTTAGAATATATTTAAAGTATATTTAGATATTATCGTAAGTACAGATCACATATCACCTTTTGATAATTATTTTGTTGATTCAACATTTAATTATTATAAAAATTTGGTTTGACATATAAAAGATGTAACAAATAAAAGAAATATATACATACATTGTATTTGTGAGCTTTTCTAAAAAATTAAATTTCAAATGTTTAAGAATTTATAACATTTTTTTATTTAAATAAATAAAAATTAGACTATTTATGAGTTTCAGCTATTCATTTAATTATAAAATTATAACGAAATTTAAAAATTTAATTCAAATGTTAATATCTATATTTTTTTGTATTCATTAATATAATATACATATAAGAACATACTAGCATGATTATTAGTAAATCTTTAAAATAAACTTAATAATTAACTTTCTTTCATAATATTAAATTTTATTGACTATTTTAAAAGAAGACAAATTATAATTAGTTATAATTACAACAAATACTTAAAATTGTAATCGTGTATAATTGAATATTTCTTTACGATAATAGTGTAATAATTAATAGAACGTATAGAAACTTTGAAATAACATAAAGAACTATAAAACCTTAATGCCCTTTATTGTAAAAAATAAACTTCAAATATTCATAAATATATGCCATTTCTATCACATCTATTTTACGTCATACACTAGTAACTTATGAACATTGTAGGTTATGTTTTTGTAGTTTAATAAATACTGCTACATGTTACTAATAATTTAATTGAAATCTTTTAAAGAACAAAAAATGGTTATTTTAGAACACGAGATTAATGAAGAAATAAAAATGGATAAAACTGACGCATCTGAGAAAAAACGACTGGAATCATTAAAACATAAGAAACAAATTTTCAAAGCTAGAGAGTTGGCAGTGCAAAATGCGTTGAAGAACTTGGTAAATATATTTTAATTTATTTTATTTAAAAGTTTTTATTTTTTATAATTTATTTCTATAGGATAGTAAATCAAATAATAACAAAATCATATTTGATGATAATATTGATAAAATAGAACAATCTAAGGTTAAGAAAAAAGAAAAAAAAAGAAAACGTGATTTATTTGATGATGATGATGATGATGTTGATAACAAAAATGATGCTGAATCAGTTTGGGATGCTAGTAAATTTAAAATTAACAAAAGTAAATCAGGAAAGGTGAGATACTCATAAACACTTATTAACAAGTTTTGTAGATAAAGAAATGTTTTTATAAATATTTATTCAATTAATATTACTTGGTTAATAATTTTAGTTGGTTGAGCATATTACTTTGGGAAATGATGAACGGTTTAAACTTGACGAACGTTTTATGGAGGATGATCAAAACTCAGATAAAAATATTACTATAGAAAACAGCAATGAAACTGACTTACAAAAAGAAAAGGAATTGCAATTAGATATTTTAGAAAATATTTTAGGAGTACCAATTATTTCAAAAAATAAAGATTCTAGTAAAGATGTGAAGCCTGTAAAGTATGTATAAGGGAATTAATTATTTATGTAAATTCTAAGATTAGTAGTTCGTAGTAATTCTTTCCATAAATATATTTATATAACTTTATATCAAATTTTGTAATTCATTAGGAAAGGAATGATTAGATATGATCCTACAGAAGACGGTCATAAAGAATATGAGATTAATACAGAGAAATCTGAACCAGAAGCAAAGAAAGTTAAGAAGAAAAAGAAGAATAAAGATAATACAGAGGATGTAAATCAAAATCCACCTGTAGAGGTGTCAAAAGATATATATTTTTCAGTGTCAAATTCACTATCACAAAGATTAAAAGATGGAGGAGAAGAATTTAGTTTATTAAAAACATATGGAAAAGAAATAAATGACGCAAAAAGTTAATTTCTTTATAATGCATTAATTAAAATATTTAATTTATAATATTTATTATTTTTATTAATGTTTGTTTATAATTGTAGCAAATGATAATAATGATATCTCAACTACAGAACTATTGAAACCTTCAAAAATACAATTAGGTATAGATTCAAAGAATCCGTTTAAATATGATTCTTCTGATGATGAATATGACAACAATTATGAATATACCAATAATGAACAACATACAAATGAAGTGGTGGGACATATAAATAAGTTCTTTTTTGATACAAATGATATTCGTTTTAATGGTATGCATTTCATATAAAATATACATATAATAAAAAATAAAAAATCATTTTCTTACAAATATTCATGTTTACTAAATTTTAGAAGCAAAAGAATTTTTTTCGAAGGAGCCTATATCAGAAGATGCATTTAAAGGACTTAGACATGAATTAAAACAAATTGTACGTGCGAAAGTTCTAAGTAATAGGAAAAAGAAACAGCCTTGGGGATATAAAAAAAGAATAAAAAATCATCGTAAAAAATTTGTTTAACGTTTTATTACTTTTTTAAAGTATAAACGAAGATGTCATTAAATTTATACATTTGCTTTTAAAAAATATAAATAAAATATTGTAAGAAAATGTATATACATATAAAATATAAAATATCTCACTTTTGTAACTTGGAATTATAATTTCATTACTATCATTAACATTTTTCGCGAATTCTTTAATAACTATAACAACAAATTATTGTCCTTTTATTTATGGCTTAATATTACGACAAAATCTATTCAGTAAAAATAAATTGTATTTATTAGTGGTCCTTATATAACCTTTGACACAGAAAGAAAGAAATGTTCTTTCTTAAATTATATTAATAATTTAATCTGTTATTCTTAATTATTCTTTTCGTGCTACTTTACGACATGCCCTGTTAAGTAACTTTAAAAAAAAGTCATGTGGAAGTCCACGTGACACTTGTTGTATATGTGTGTTTAATAAATTGTATGTTTCTTCTTCATAAATAGCATAAGTATTTGATAAACCTAGCTCATTGTATAGCTGTTTCACACGATTTATTTTTTCTGTATCGGATTGTCCATAACATTCCTGTACAATATCAATGATTTCATATTATTACTCCTTCAAAAAAAGAATAAAGTATTGTTAATGACATATTTACCTCTAAAATTTTTCTCTGTTCTGGTGTAGCGCGTTGTAAAGCTACAACAACAAGCCATGAGCATTTCCCTTCTGCTATATCTGTTCCAGTCTTTCCAGTGGTCTCTGAATCACCATAACAGTCTAAATAATCATCTCTTACTTGAAAAAAGTGACCCATTTCCAGCAAAATTGTTTTCGCTTGACGATACATTTCTGGATCATTTATACCAGCCTATGGACCATGCATTAATTATGCACAATCATATAAATAAAAAATAAGAAAAATATATTTTTACCTTAAACAAATAGCACAGTTATGAATTAATAAAAACTAAACTTACAAAAGACATAGCAACAGTGGCTGGTAACACAAACGAATAGTAAGCTGTCTTATATTTTGCAATAGAATTATATCGATCCATAGTAAAAAAATCAAAATTTGATTTTTTTCCAAAATCTGTTGATAATAAATCTAGACACTGACCCATGGCTGTTTTTAATGTAGACTGTAAATAATATATCAATAAATAATATCATAGAATCTCTATTGTGCACAAAAAATATATATAAAATGACTTAAAATTTATAAAATTTATAATGTAAAATGAAATATAAATATCCATTTTGTAAAAAATATTTTATTATTATTATTATTTTATATCTAAGCAAAATTTTTAATTTGAATAATTTTGACTATTAAAAAAATATTAAAAAAAAAAATGTTTTTAATTGAAACCTTCAAAAATACAATTAGGTATAGATTCAAAGAATCCGTTTAAATATGATTCTTCTGATGATGAATATGACAACAATTATGAATATACCAATAATGAACAACATACAAATGAAGTGGTGGGACATATAAATAAGTTCTTTTTTGATACAAATGATATTCGTTTTAATGGTATGCATTTCATATAAAATATACATATAATAAAAAATAAAAAATCATTTTCTTACAAATATTCATGTTTACTAAATTTTAGAAGCAAAAGAATTTTTTTCGAAGGAGCCTATATCAGAAGATGCATTTAAAGGACTTAGACATGAATTAAAACAAATTGTACGTGCGAAAGTTCTAAGTAATAGGAAAAAGAAACAGCCTTGGGGATATAAAAAAAGAATAAAAAATCATCGTAAAAAATTTGTTTAACGTTTTATTACTTTTTTAAAGTATAAACGAAGATGTCATTAAATTTATACATTTGCTTTTAAAAAATATAAATAAAATATTGTAAGAAAATGTATATACATATAAAATATAAAATATCTCACTTTTGTAACTTGGAATTATAATTTCATTACTATCATTAACATTTTTCGCGAATTCTTTAATAACTATAACAACAAATTATTGTCCTTTTATTTATGGCTTAATATTACGACAAAATCTATTCAGTAAAAATAAATTGTATTTATTAGTGGTCCTTATATAACCTTTGACACAGAAAGAAAGAAATGTTCTTTCTTAAATTATATTAATAATTTAATCTGTTATTCTTAATTATTCTTTTCGTGCTACTTTACGACATGCCCTGTTAAGTAACTTTAAAAAAAAGTCATGTGGAAGTCCACGTGACACTTGTTGTATATGTGTGTTTAATAAATTGTATGTTTCTTCTTCATAAATAGCATAAGTATTTGATAAACCTAGCTCATTGTATAGCTGTTTCACACGATTTATTTTTTCTGTATCGGATTGTCCATAACATTCCTGTACAATATCAATGATTTCATATTATTACTCCTTCAAAAAAAGAATAAAGTATTGTTAATGACATATTTACCTCTAAAATTTTTCTCTGTTCTGGTGTAGCGCGTTGTAAAGCTACAACAACAAGCCATGAGCATTTCCCTTCTGCTATATCTGTTCCAGTCTTTCCAGTGGTCTCTGAATCACCATAACAGTCTAAATAATCATCTCTTACTTGAAAAAAGTGACCCATTTCCAGCAAAATTGTTTTCGCTTGACGATACATTTCTGGATCATTTATACCAGCCTATGGACCATGCATTAATTATGCACAATCATATAAATAAAAAATAAGAAAAATATATTTTTACCTTAAACAAATAGCACAGTTATGAATTAATAAAAACTAAACTTACAAAAGACATAGCAACAGTGGCTGGTAACACAAACGAATAGTAAGCTGTCTTATATTTTGCAATAGAATTATATCGATCCATAGTAAAAAAATCAAAATTTGATTTTTTTCCAAAATCTGTTGATAATAAATCTAGACACTGACCCATGGCTGTTTTTAATGTAGAATTTAAATAATATATCAATAAATAATATCATAGAATCTCTATTGTGCACAAAAAATATATATAAAATGACTTAAAATTTATAAAATTTATAATGTAAAATGAAATATAAATATCCATTTTGTAAAAAATATTTTATTATTATTATTATTTTATATCTAAGCAAAATTTTTAATTTGAATAATTTTGACTATTAAAAAAATATTAAAAAAAAAAATGTTTTTAATTTAACAAATACAATTTTGTATATACTAATAAAATAATAGAAATTCTTTACCATATCAAATAATAATATCAATTTTTATAATGATATAACAAAATAAAATTTGTTTATACAATGAAAATAGTCATTTTAATTATTTTTTTAAGTACAAAAATATCCTAAGAATTAAAATTGTACCGAAAAAGTATAACAATTTTGTTTTTCTTACCTTACTGATTATACATTTTTATCTATTATTAAGGTACAAAATGTTATTACTTACATCTAAGAATAATTCCATGAGATTTAAATAACAATCTTTCGATTTAAAATGTTTTCTAAGGAGTTGATATATACACATTTCCAACATTACACCATCATTAATAGCCGCCAATCCAATATTATTGTTTGTATACCAGCATGGTTGATTTCGTCGCATTTTTGATTGATCTTGAATATCATCAATCACCACAAGGAACGCTTGCAACTATAAAACATTACCATATATGTATACAAAAATATACTAATTCTTTAATTTTTCACATTGGATTATAAAGTAACTCATAGAAGATTATTTTTATTGTGGTTAGACATTTATAAATATCTATGATTAGAACAATTATAAATTTAAAAGTAATATAGGATAAAAGGTGTAGAATAAAAAATTACTAACCAATTCTATACACCAGCCTAAAATACGGGCTAAACGAATATTTTCTTCTGTCAATTGATCGTAAGGAGATAATAATTTGTATGCATGAATAACTGTTAAAGCTCTATTTTTTCCTCCTACCGGTACATTGTACTGCAATACCTGGAAAAATAGGGAGAAACATGTTTCTTATTAATACATTATCTTAATTGCAATTTAATCTTAATTTTTAATCTTTTAACCAATCGTTTCATCTCGTGAATTTGAGATAGAAATTAAATAGAAAAATAAGTACATTCTTATTAGATATTTTTCGGAAGCAACGAAATCGATTTTAAATATACATATACATACGTAAGTAACGAATTATCTCATTACCAAATTATTGGATGCTCGGGCACCCCTAACTATAGTAATAAAAATTTACACAAAAAAAAATGCAATTATTTGTCCGTGAAAATATATCATTATAATAAGACAACTAATTCATATACATTATAGTAATTTTATAAGTTTAATAATGTTATGACAAGATACTCCATTTTGTGTATTACGTATATTTTTTCTCTATTATTTGTTATTATTTTCATTTATTTTCTTTTTTCTATTTTCATTTCCAATTAGTGTATTATATATAAAACACGTAATTATAACGTAACGTTTTAAACAAATTCCTCATAGAAAAGTATCTAAAAACGTATTCAAAACAATATAAAAATTATCTTGACAACAAACGTATATATATACATTTATGTGTATGTATATAAACAATTATCAATACATTTTAAAGCATATTGTAAGATTATCTAGAACAAATTAAGAAATGGCATCAAATTAGACACTGTAATAAGTAAAAATAGTCATACTGGTAATTAAAAATAATCAACCAATAGTCTATCCAATATATCTATCCAATATATCTAGTCCAATATATCTATCCGATAATTATGTTTGTTTTGGCCACTGGTCGAGCAATCTTCAAATAACCGATACATTAGTGAACAAAATATGGTAAAATCTCTAAATATTTCATGATTTTGCAACACTCGATAGAACAGATCATTATACCTCGTTGAATTTGTCTCAAAACGAGCTATAATATTACGAATGAAAGAATGTAGCGTCCCATTTAAAAATATAATAATTTAACCTTAAAACCTCTACCATACTTTCACTAACAAACAGAAACTTTTATATCAGTAAAAATTTTATATTATAACAAAACTTTATATCATTAATTTTTATAGCAAATAATTTGTTCAATAACATTTTTTTATATTATGTTATATTTTGTTTATATTTCTTAGATATTCAAGCGAATTCGGATAAAATGGACACACTGTATATACACGAATTACGACGAGACATTGAATAAAAAGTTTGATAAGCTTTGCAAGTAATAATTAGACTGCGATACCATAATCTAGAAATGGCTTCGAAATTGTATATGAATACATATTAGCAACAAATGATAAGCTAATTTTAATTTACAATAAGGTTAGCAATATAATTCTCATTGTATAAAAGTAAGTAGGTTAAAAATTTATATATTCATGATAAAATGTAGTAAATATTAATAAATATTAACATATTTCAATATTCGTCAACATATACATATAAATATCAATAATTTCAAATAATTACGAACATTTACCTCAATACAATCTTTTTATAATGTTACAAATGTTCAAGAAGAATTTAATTTATTGAGATTTTAACCCTTTGCACTCGGCGATTTTTTCGTTACAGAGAAATAGTAATTTGAAGACTTTCTGTCATAAAGTCGATGATATTTTTAAAATGGTAAATAAAAATTCGTGTGTAAATTAAGACGTAGAATTATTTTACTTCGAAATTCCACGCATCGTTGGGTAATTTTAAATTTGATCTATCAATTAACATCGATCTTTAGAATCTGGTTAAATGACGACAGAGAGTCACCTTTCAACTGAAAAAGGTTAAATTATAAATTATAAAATATTTAAATGAAAGTAACTAAACGAAATTACTTTTCATTTGTTAGAATTTTAACATTCATTTGTTAGATTACAAGGAAAACATTGTTTGCAGAGAGTAAAATTTTTTAAAAATGATAAAAGTTTTAAATTTTCGACGCCATTTTGTAATAAAGATTAAATTAAACGCGCTATTGCACGAACTTGAAATAACGGTCAAAAGAAAGTCAACATTTGTACATAATTTCTGCCACAAATTCTAATCTCGATGTAATAATCTGCCGAATGTACAAATTTGTATTACATCGAAATACAAATAAACAATAGAAATTGCAGGAAACCATATCGAATAATTATTATAATATTTCGATAACATTCAATACAAAACCAAGTATAAGCGATAATAAATACTATTGCTATTGCATTTTCGCGAACAAAAATATTCCATCTGGTGATCATACAATATCATACTGTTGTACTACTTTTGAAAAATTAAATTATATATGACACAATTACGAGATTAAAATAATCGTAAATTAATTTAAAGAACATTACTCAGAAAGTCCAAGAAAACAGCAAATAAACAAAATAAGAACAATTGTCAATTTCAAAAATAAAAATTCATTTAGATCATTGGACTACATTAAAATCGGCAGAAATTAGTCACTTTCATTAATAATATCTCGTAAAGTTTTGGGAGTTTATGGTTATGTTTATGATAACATTTTTATATCTGAAATTGTACACGGAATTTTGTACAACGATGATGATGCTCCTTGCAAACAAAGGAAACTCTGCACTGTTCGATATTGTAAAATTTGAAAAAAGAAAAAAATAAAAGTAATACCTTCGCCAACCATTTGGTAACATCTGGTATGTCAAGATGACGACCAGCATCCGTGAGATCACGGACAACATCGGGCCAAACAGCCATTAATTCACGACTTTCATCTTTGATAGACATATGTGTTGTCTGAGACATGGAATATATCGTTCGTACATCGACATTCTTTGATCTAAAGAAAAAAATATTTCGATAACATTTATCCCTTTAATAAATTTCTTTTATTTCACAATAATTATTAACGATCGAATAAAGAAATTTCAATATCGCTTATATATATATATATATCTTAATAACATTCTTTTATTCACATTGACGATAATTATCGTAATTATAAAAAAAATAATTGAATTTATTTTAGAAAAATCTTCTGCGAAAAATGGTTCATGGTTTTCCAAATTTTGAAAATCAATTAAAAGTTAAAACATTATGTATGTACGTATTATTATAACACCATTGCGAGTATATCAAGGTCAAACAAATATCATTACGTAATCGAAGGTAATCGATAAAAATAGAGTTTTCATTGGATAAATAAAAATATATTTCGTCATATTAATCAGATAACTTTCACCTGTAGACTAAATAGGTTATGAAGTGTCAGAAATATAGCACGATTGCTATGAATATTCTTAAGGCGGCAGGGCAGTTTAAAATTTTGAAAAAGTCGAATTTTTGTTGTCTTAACCAGTTAGCTCTGGCGACCCCTTTTCATGAGCGCGCGCCTATATGTGTCGCGAGAATTAAGCGATGACGGGTATAGTCGTCAAAGCCAGAGTAATTGACGCCGTTAAAATGTAAAATGATGAAAAAGACGGCTTTATTGTATAAAGTGAATAATTTTATTAGTAATATTTACTCTTTCATTTAACATAAACATAGACTACATACATAAACGAAAAACTCAAGAAAAATCAAATATCTATAAAGTTATTGTCCGTATTCGTTTCGTGGTGGACTAATCTTAAAGATCCAACCTAACCTAACCCTATCATAAATCCGTCTCAGGTTTTAGCGCTGAGCTAATTGTTTTTCGACTTTTGCTTTTGTACGCTTTAACTAAAATATATAAAACATTATCACATGTATAAATTTGATTATACAAACTGGTAAGCAGTTCCAGCCAGTGCATACAGGGATGCATGAATCCATCTCAAATTAGTCTTCGCTAAAATTACGATTTAAATAGCAAATGGTAACTAAATTTTACACATGGCGAATATAGTTGCCATAATGCAAAATACTGCCATTTCTGTATAACGGATGTAGACATCAAATAATGTCAAGCTGACTGGTTAAATAGTAGTCTGATGTTTTACAATATACGGAAAGTCCTAACCTTCAAAACTATTTTTGGATGTAAGGAGTGTGAAGACGATTCGCGATCCTACGTGCCGTGACGCATTGGCATGAATAACGACTTGACGTGACGACCTACCAGCATGGAGTCGATTTTAAAGGTCGTAATATCAGGAAAGTCACGAGTCGACATTATATATGCCTACTCTTGGTTTGCTTTGAGTGTACTGACCCAAAATCAAAACGAAATTTTGATAAGACTATTTGGCATTTAGCTTCAAAAAATTTATTTAGAAAATTACAAATACGAAGATTGCTGCTTATATTGCTGCTAATATTTCCAACAAAGGCTTTTCTAGAGTCTTATTAATTATAAACACTATTAGTATAATCGTGGGACCAATAGCTGCTACACTATGCGACACATTCGGGCGACAAAGGATTAAGGGGATTCTTTCAAGTTTTCTTTCATTTGGAAGATTACAGCACGGAAATGTCAACATTCCTGTCGATAGGTAAACAAGTAAATATTTTTTCAGATTATTTGAGATTCGAAATTATTTCCGAGAAATTTGAGGTTAGAAATTATTTCTGGGAAATTCGAGGTTAGGAACTGCTCTTAAAGGGGTATTGTTGTAATCCGGCCTATAAAAATCGACTTCTTGGGAATTTTTTTCTAAGGAAACCATGATACATATTGCCATGCAGTTTTCGCACTCAGATTTATTTACACTTGGAGAATATTTATGATTTTTTTTTTTAACGAAATTAATGGAAATTGTAGAAATTATATAGCCTTAGGTAAATCATGGTTTTGAAAACGCACTCAAATGGTTGACGTGATTCCGGACCATCTGGTCATCGGAAACGAAAAAACCAACGAGCATTTTAATTAGCATAAATACGACTATAACATGAACCACCAAAAGAGTAAAATTTCGAAAATTAAAAAAATGGCAGCATTTTAAAGTTTAAATACCGATTTTCCTTGTGTTCTTCGTCCTTTCAGTGGTAAACGAAAATAGAAAAAAGCATCAGATTTTGAAATCCGTGATTCACGGGATAAAGGTACATCCGGTGAAGATCTCCAAATTTCGAGTCAATCGGTCAACTGAAACGCGAGATATCCCGTCAGCCAGTTCAAAAAATATAGTTTCGAGAAAAACGCTACCCCTTGTACAATGCTTGTACGCCGCACTTTAAACATCTTTAACTTTGCTAATTTTACGAATTCGAACAAATCTTTTTACACGGATATTTTCGGAAGCATACACTTTGAGAAAATGTAAAAAAAAGAAATCGATTTTTTTAAGTCGGATTACAACAATACCCCCTTAAAACAGCTAATAGATGACCATTTTAAAACTCTAAAAAAGATAGACTCGCTCGTACATCCAGTCTATTAGCCGTGTAATAGACTAAAGTCGAAGCAGATGGTCATATGTACGAGACAAGAATGACTGATTACCGAAAAATTAAGGATACGTATGAAAAATTACGTTCCGAAACTTTAAACGAGTTTTTTTTTCGAAACTATGCTTTTAAAAACGACGTACAAAATATCGCGAGATCTAATCAACCAATTATTTTGAAACTTCACAGATATCTTCACCATAAACATTTACATTCGATTTTATTTTAAAATTGTTAACATTTTCCGTAAAATTCGATAAGTCAACTATAAATAGCTACCATTTTGATAATTTCACAAAAATTGAAATGTTTGAACATCAATACCTAGAGAAAATATTATAGTTTCAAGTCCCCTTTGATTCTTTTTGATCGGCCATTTTGAAAAAAAGTAATTCACAAAGATGGTGTCGCAAAGCTAAAATTAGAGATCTCTTTCAAGAAACTTAACACTGTTTTTTATAGTTTACAATATGCTTAAACAAATCACGAAAGTTTATATCAATCGAGTGATTTTTTCTTTCTTATTCGTTTAAAATATCGCTACTCTTTAAATGCGTTGAGCTATCCTGTGCCCACCCCCCCCCCCAATTTACGCGAAGGTGTTGCAATTTGCATAAAAAATAATTCTTATTTCATGGATATTTTAATAGAATTTACACTTGAAATTGCAATAAAGTCTCCTTCAAGAGAATTTGCTATCCGTAATATTAATCCTCGAAAGAATTACGATTTCTACATTGGAGAATTAATTGACTTTTGCACTCAATCTCTTTTCGTGCAAGAGAATTCATTTTAATTTTGGGTATATACGAGTTCAAACGTAAGTATTACGATTAAAACAGTTAAATGATTTCGTGTTGTTCCATCTACTGATATTTTTTCATTCAAATTTGAAATTCCGCAATTAAATATACAATTTAATTTATTAAATGATATATGTACATATATACAAATGTACTATACGATATATAATTAAAATTTATTAAATTCTATGTTAATTGGTTAAAATACAAATTCGAGTTAAATCATGCAACGTCAAAATTGTGTATAGAATAACAGAATTTATTGATTTCAATCCTCGAGCCAAGAAATGACCTTGATTCATGATAATATCGAGTTTAATATGCAAATGTATTATGTACCACCATTATGTATTTCGTTTGAAATTTCAATACCTTCAGATTTATAAATGTTCAATTAAACCTGTTATCTTTATTAAAATTTAATAAAAGCAAATTTAGTGGGAAAATATTTCACGAATTTTCAATCGAATAATTTTTGATTTAAATGAGAAAAAAAAAGAACTCATAGCTTTTACGATTGTTTCTCACGAATATTTCAACGAAATTTCGTTATAATATTTTTCTGTATTTTATAAAATGCAAAACATTTTACTATATTCTTATAAGTCAGAAATTTGAGACAAATACACAAACAATACAAAACGAAATAGTGCCTATAAGGTTCATGCATACAAAACTAATATTAACAATTGGACTCAAAAAAGTTGCTAATATATAATTCTTCTCAGCAGAACAAAATGAAATGTCTGGTTTAAATCATTCTTATGTGACCTTATTTTCTATATATATATACAGAATATAAATATACACTATATATGTACAAAATATAGATATATATATACAAAATACCAAATGATACATACTCTGAACCCATTTTCACATGGAGGAAGTTCCTCTGAAGTACTGTGAAGCTGATACAGAATACGTGCCCGAGTTACTCCGCCTCTCTCTCTATATATACATATATATGTGTATACATATATAGGTATCGCATAAGCATATGCAGTATTGTGGAAGTCACAACTGTAGTGACAAATTTTTTCTGGCATACTTTACATTCGTTTAAGTTAAGGCTATGTAACTAATAACGTGGGAAAACAATCTGATTCAAGAGAAGAAGAATATAAAAAGAAAATAAAAAGCTACTTCGTTTTCACTTTACAATCCTTTAAATATTACGAATATTCTCTATAGAGTTCATTCAAGGTCTAACAAGTTATTATTAGCATAAATTATGATATATTCAGTGTACGTAAGATTTTCATGAACGATAATAAATTTTGAAACAATTTTATCGTTATTTGTTTTTATTATTTCGATATATAGTTTATATTATTGTAAACTATATCGTATGGTTTGTACTGTATACTCTGATATTTGCATTACTGTAATGGAAATAATCGTAGCTGCAATACAATAAATTCTCGATTAAGCTATTAATTAGTGGTAGAAAAATTGAATAATAAAACGACTGTAATTGTTAATTAGGTTTCATATGAAAACTGATAATTTGTTGTATATTATTACACATTTGGTATACATTTTTCCAAACATCGAAACTTTGAAAATTTTCCGACAATTTCAAGAATTCGAAACTTTGCACTTTCTCGTGGTTCAAAATTCTCGACATTTGGGCAAGCAATAATATAAAATCGATGAATGAAAGATCATTCGCAATATGCCCTGAGTATGTACACGTATACGATTCTTGTGTATCCTGAAATTATATTTTTTGAAAGATTTTCGGCACTAATCAATTATATAATTAGTAGATTAGATCTAAAAAGAGCTCATATGTTAATATTTTTATATATCGTTTTTCATTTTTATACTTTATAATGTTCAATAAATGTTTCTATGATCTTAGTTTACTTTAATGAAATGTGTTTCCAAGGTTTATTTCTTTGAAAAGCATTGGCACATATGTCAGTCAATTTCATCTGTTCTTTATTATCTATTATTTATGTAAATTCTTTACATAAATAACTATTAAATATAAAGCTATTAGAAATAAATTGTATTGAAAGTTTTTGTTTACAGTACACTTATTACTAATAGTTCTTTGCATGACATACTAAATTTTTTAAAATTAAAAATTGTTTAATTCTAAATTATTACAATTGTAAAACTTTAAAACTAATTATAAGTATTTTGTCACTATAGAATTGCAACATTTCTATTTTTTAATTATAAATGCAAATTTAAAAATTACAATTTGAATTGATTATTAAAGGGCAAAAAAGAAATCCTCTTTTATTTTTATTATACAGAAATAACTTTGAACCAAAAATACAATAATTTTTTAGATATTAGCTTATAATTTCAAAATATTACTAAATCTGATAGTCAAAAGTATAATTGTTTAATACTGATCTTTCCTCTTTATATACAATCTTATACTTAGGAAAAGATTATAGTACATAAGCAAATTTTATAAGAATTAAAATAATAATTAAATTAGTAATTTAAAAAACAACTTCTAAAATATTAAAATTGTAATATTTTGTTGTATTTAATTATGAACTAATATTTAAAAATTCTATTTATATTGCTAAAAGTAACTTATAAGCTTCAATGAAAATTCAATTTAAGACATTTACTTTAATAATGAAATTTTTATATCAGAATGCTTGAAATACAATGAATTTTTGAATACATAAATTATTATAAATTTATATTTGCTTTGTAATATTTTTTTATGAACCAAGTATGAAATGTCTTTTTGGAATAAGTGATTTTCATATGAATAGAAACATGACTTTTACATGAGTTAATTTTTCACATATGCCTCTTTGAATAACATAGTAAACTATGCAATAGAATTTCAATCAGTCAATTGTTATGTAAATAAAAATATGATTTTCATATGAGTTAGTTTTGCTTATCTAATAATACATTTATAGTTCACAATATATCATCATTTGAAGAAAATATTGAAGAAGAAGAAATACAAAATAATGTTCTAGAAGTATAGTTACACTTGCATTTACTATATAACACAAGAAAATAACAATAAAATTTATCTACAACATAGTATAAAATTATTTTGCTTTTTTATTCAAATTTCACTATCTATTTTAATAAATTTATAAATACATCTTAAGATTATACAATCACAAAATATAAAATCTCTGAATGGTGAGGACAAAATGGAGAGAGAAATAAGTAAATCTATGACAGTGATCCTAAAAGCATTAACACATCATGGAACACAAACAATAATACAGTGTAATCCTAATGCGAGTGAGGAAAATTTTATCAATATGATCATCAACACAAAAATATAATTAAATAGTACTGTATAAGTTGTGTGAGAATTTGTTTATTCATAATCAATTTGAACAATTTGTTATTAAGTAATAGTTTATATATTTAATTTGTTTTTATGTATCAAAATTTATCTGAAATAAATAAGTGACATATTATGTAAATGTTCATTAAATAAATTTATGCATGTATTTTATACTGTAACAAATTTATCTTACAATGAATTTATTTCTGAAAGTATATGTATTCTTTCTAAATATAAATTTATTCTTATGAACATATTTCATTTCCAAATATATAAAAACATGAAAGTTAAGAAATATTGTATAAAACATATCTAACTTTTTAAAATAACATATTTGGTATAAATATCTCCTTCTGCCTTTGATTACAGTACTTAAATGGAAGAATTTTAATATATTATAATACATTTGAACATAAACAGTATAATAACAATATTAATGTTCACATAGAGCATAAAAAAGGACTAAGAAATGTTTATTATATAGTGATAAAATATTTAAACATATATTGCAATAAAACATACTTTAGAAATTTTGAATAATTAAATATTTGTTTTCCAAATATTATACATTAATAGTTTTATGTATATGATATCTGTAGAATAATAAGTACAAAAAATGTATTTTTTGAAAATGTACAATTTTTGTATCATTTTATCTATTTTCATTGACGTAAAAGCTATAATTTATTTTATTTCTGAGAGATTTTCAATATGACAAACTTATGTTTGTATTAGAAAATATTTAACAACATATTTACATAAAGTAATTCTTTCAACGAATATAATAAACTGATAGACACAGTTAAAATAACTAATATTAATATCACTTTAACCACTTAAGATTATTACTACACTAAAGAACTTATCAATTCTTATAGATTTAATCTAATTATCTATGTTTTATAAATATATTTTATCATATGAAAATAAACTAACATTTTTTAAATTTTTCCATAAGAGTGTTAAAGGCACTAAGATAACTCTGATATTGATAAAAATAACTTAACCTTGCTTAACCTGTATTCAGAAAAAGGAACAACCTAACTTTTCTTAAAATTATGTTCTTAACTTTCTTGCTTACTTTTTTATTTTAATATATGTTTAATCTGGATAAATATTAAACAAATTTTGAATCAAAACAATATTCAAAAGAATAATTACATATATATTTACATTTTTCATAATAAAATATAACTCCTAGATAAATATTTTAAAACATAAATATTTTCTATAAAAAAATTTTATAATTTATTTTCATTAAGAGAAATAAAAAAGAAAGAAAAAATTAGAAGTATACAATGTATAATAAAATTATATTAAATAAATATGTTCTTTATAAAATAATAGTTGTTTAATATTTTGGTGTAACAAAATTAACTTTAATGAAATATGTATTTATTCAATGTTCATAACTAAATACATACAGTAGCACAATAACAAATAATGTTAAATGTATTTAAACATATTAAAACTGATGCTTTCAAAGTCTCTACTTATTATTTTTGTTATATCTTACAATGTATTTAAAAATGTATTTATAATTTATAGATTAATAAAATTTAAAAATAACAATTTTTACTTACCTAAGGTACCTCAAAGGGGATGTATTTGCATTGTAATGAAAGTACCGTATTTTTGAATCTTGATGTAACAAACACAAAACATTTTTTTTATTATTTATAACGTTAAAAGAATGTTGTGATACATTTCGTTTAAATGATAAGAGAAGAATATATTTTGATAAAATACAAGACATTTTTACTTATGTAAATATATTTTTGATATAACCTTGCTTTACAAAATAATAAAGTAATAAACCACTTGTGTATATTAATTGTACTTGTTAGATAAATAAATATTAGATACAGTAAGTAAGAATGTATTACGTGTGTTAGATATAGTAAGAATGTTTACAGAAAAATATATATTCGTAAGATTAATTCAACGAATTGTTACTTCAAAAACAATGCAAACGAAAGGTTAGAGTTCACAATCGCACAACATGATACGTAAATTTATATGCATATGTATAAAAGAAGATCTCTATTATACCAATGCTTATCACGTTACTCGACAGAGTAATGTTATACATCTATAGTTATTACTTTTTGTTTAATTTTCAGTATTTATATACTTACATATAGAAATATATAATAATACATATTTATATTATTGTCGCATTTATGTAATTCCTCATATTAATGATAAAAAGTACTTGGAAACCATATTTAAGTATTTAACCTTCATAAAAAACAATTTATTTAACAGAGAAAAAATTCGTACATTAATAACAAGAATAATTTTTATACAAAAACTATTATTTTATTGCATATCTTTTGTTATTCAGTAATAAACATAAATAGTAACATAAATACGTTGTTATTATGACTCGTAAACTAAAGTACGTAAAGCTATACGTAATTAAATAAATTTAAACCTCAATTTATTAAAAAATACAGTATCATATTTTTACTTAGTGTTTAATTATAGATGTATTTTCTATTAATTCTATACGTTAATAAGAACATTTTATCAACATATACGATTAATAATAATGAAATAATTTGTTATAGTCTAGGCAAGTTGAAAATTATAAAAATATTTCGCAATACAATCTTTATTAATATAATAATGTAATATTACTGATTATTTCAAGAAAAATAAAGAAAATGTATATAACTAAGAAGTCATGTATACTCCTGTATATAACAAATAAATTAAATTTAATAGTTTTTATAAATATACTTTATTCTATGTCATTACAATATTATCTATATATTACATCACAAATGTACTACACTTTTTACACAAATTTATTATATGCTTATTAATTTATTAATGTATTACATCTATTTAGTTCTGTAAAAATTTATTAATTTTATTTTCCTTCTTAAATATGATTTATTAATTATATTTTGTTGTTTACTACATAATATTTTACAGAAAAAATTATTATTACAAAAACTATTTATGAAAAGGTACTTTATTAGAAGGAGCTGGTAATCTATATTTTGCTAATTCCACTTCTGCTTCTCCAAAGGTGTCTAGATGATAACAAAAGTATTCTGGATTTTTATATTCTTTATCTTTAGCAGCATTTGGACCAACACCTAAACATTAAAATTTGAAAACAGTGTAATATGAATAAAAATATTAATAACATAAATCATCTTTTAATATAAAAACAATAAATATTATTAGTTATTATTAGTTATCTTATATGGAATGTCAGTTATTTGTTTTATATAATATAGGATATTTAAAAATAATAACAAGCACTGTATATTATAAACATTAAAAAAATAATAAAATATTACTTTAAATGATGTTTTGGTAGAAAGACAATTACATGATATAAAATATAAAATGTATTAAAAGTAAATGATTAGTTATATCTAAAAGTTTACAACATTTTTCATAGATTCTGTACTCTACATAATGCATTCTAATATAATAAATAATAATGAAAATTATTTTTAACTATAGTTTCATACAAATCTTGAAATTCATAGTTTTTATTGTAGCACAATATTCATTCATTATCAAATTATCAAATATGTTGATCTTTTACTTTTTTTTCTATAACAGAATAAAGATATATTGTATATTTATATTATAAGTCAGATAAAATTATGACATAATATTTTGAAAATATGTAGAAAATTTTGGTATCACGTATTAATGTATAATACATATGATAATTCTTCAAATTGTATTACTAACAGAAAATATTAATATTTATATTTTCTGCAATGAATATTTAATTGTTTTTTTTAAATACTATTTAAGAAAAAATCTATTAACACGTTCAACTCAGTGTGATTCAACAATGAATTATAATAAATTGAACGTATTAAACAATATATATATATATATATATATATACATATATACACATGCTTACATGTATTTGGAACTTTACAACATTTATCACTGAGTCCTGTAACGTTTGGATTTATTGTTACTTTATTACTCCCTGTTTTTGCAGACTTTTGTACATTCAAACAACGCAACGGTATTAAATTTTGTTTCTAAAACAATTAATATTATTAAGAATAAATGATTTGTTGAAATGAAAATAATTAAAATGTTTTTTTAATAACAGGTTATGTAATGAATAATTTTTATATATACCTGTCTTAACAGATTGTTTGACATTAAACGTAACATTTTTCCTGATATTATTATCAATTGTTATATTTTAAACGAAATAAAGTCCTTTTATATTTATATAACAACGTATTTTTATAATTGGAATTAAAATGTGTCCAAATTCACCACTGCTAGTAACATCGCCACATTTAATTATACAAGTAAATATGTATAAGTCATGTTATATTCAAATTTCAGTACAATTTATTATCCTATAATATAATTATTATTCTTTTTTTCTAATAAACGCCAAAAATACTTCCAGTATTACCAGTTTTAAATTAAATGCATTTATATATTACACAATAATAGGCTTTTTAAATAAATGATATATAGTGATATATCTAGGGACAATATTGTATTTACGATTTTTTAAATTTATGTATATATTATAAATATCTACAATGTTTTCTATTAACATATTAATTTTACAACATTAAGTATCACTGTTTATACAGAATAGTTGCAATTACAAATCTAGTTGAAAAATCATTCATATTACGTAAGTTAAAAATACAAGTAACCCATTCTGTCAAAGATAATTCTTGAATACAGTACAGCAGTACATACAATAGGTAATATTCGTATGTATTATGTCCGTAATAATTTTGTTCAGTTAATTAATATATACCATTAATGTATATCATTAGTATATATCATTATAATATTTGAAAATAAATTTGTAATATGTAAAACTATAAAGAAGAGAATAATTATTCCATATAATTATAAATTTTCGAAATAATACAATATGCACAAAAATTTTGATCACTTCATTTTATCACATGTATTAAAAAAGATTGTACGATGTTTTAAGTAACTTCATATAACTTTAGTGTATAATAGTCTTTTCAGATATGAAAAGTAAAGATTATTATATCAGGTGATAAAGTGAGACACTGTTCATATGTACATATTTTGTTAGTTTATTAGTGTAATATTATTTTTTATGACATATATAGAAACGTTTATTTAATGGAAATATTAAAAAAATATTTAATTGATGTGTAAAGTAGTTATAATGCATTTATTATAGGTATGGTTAACCATAAAAAAATAGTGTTTATAATGCACTTCCATAATAAATATAGTAATTGTTGATTTTTATTTATACTGTTTAATCAAGATATTGTTTAGTCAGTCATGTATTATAATGATATTATGTTATTGAAATGTAGTTGTATTATGGCATGGATTAAAAGTTTAATGTCTATCTAATATATATTATTGAATTATGTACAATAATGTGATTGTACGAGTACTAGAAATTAAAATAATTTTATTTCAGAATTAATTATGGTTCAACAGTCCAAAATTAATAAAGATGAAGAAAATCCAGCTATAACAGTTCTGCGATATTGCATGTCTGCTGCAGTAGCAGGTAGTATATTGGACATGGGAAACCATGTTATGCGTGGAGCAGAATTTAATACTAATGCGACAGTTGGAAAAATGATAAGAGGCTCATTTTTAGGAGGTCGTTTAGGACTTTTTTATTTTGGTGGTACATATTTATCATCACAAATAAGAAAAAAGGATGACTTCTTTAATAATATAATAGGAGGTAGTAACATTATCTATATATTTTATCTTGAACTAAAAATAATGTAAGAAACCAAATTATTAATGATAAATATTGTAAAGAAATAATATTTCTTGCAGCATGTACCACCATTCCACTACTTCGTCAATATATGGCTTTACATTATACTTATCCAATTATGGTCGCAGTGATAGGTACTATAATTGCATGGAAAAGTCTACATATAGGTCCTTCTGAAGATATAGGTCAACTTTCCTACTATGGCCGTGAAATTGATATAGAAACAATGCTGCGAAAACCACCAGGAGAACCCTTCGTGAAGCATACACCAAATAGTTTTTTCTAATTAAATTAATAAAAATAAATACATTATAGAATTCACAATTAGAATGCATTATTATCTTTATTGTATATTTATTTATATATAACTTCAATAAATACAGAAATTTTAAAATGTTACAAATTATACTAATAATTTATTTAAGTTAAAGTTTCTCCTTTTGTTACCTGAAAAATAATAATTTTACAAAATATATTAGTATTATACTTAGAGCGAATATTTTATGACATACAAACAAAAATATATCAAATGAATTCAAAGATAAGCTTGAATAAAAAATTTTATATAAACATTTTGAGATTTTGGAATTTCATATAAACTTGAAATTTAAAATAAAATATAGGTAAAATGCTAAGAAAGTATACCTTCTAAAAGAATTAAAAACTCGATTTTTCAATTATTGCATTTTTTATGTTTATAATCCTGAAAATATCTTATTTAAATATTTTGTCAAAATTTAAATGATTTTTAGTACATAAGAGGAAACATTATTGATTATACTGGAAAGAGTTTGCAAAACTTATGAATTGATATATCTAGTTTATGTAAAATGAATATTTTTATTAATATATTTTTGCAATTTCTTTTTAACTTAAACACTCAGTTTAAAAAAGTATAAATGCATTTGTTTATTTCTTATTTAATTATAATTAGCATATCAAGATTTTATCATTTACATTTGTTTAATACATATCTCATAAATCATTATTTGTCTCAGTTTTTATTTCAATGTCTATCACAGATTTTTACTATTGAATATAAGGTATTTGTTTTTTAATTCAATTTCAATTATAAAATTGATAGCTGATATGGTTACAAAAAATATATTTAACAAATTCAAACTCTTTAAGGCAATACAGAAAAATAATGATATTCATATGATTCATGATTATATGATTAATGATTTTCATATATAAAATATATTAATGTCTACTAAAGTAAATGAATTAAGAATTTTCATGAATTATATTATATTTATTATATTTTCAATTATTATATTTACGATGTTTATATGAAGTTTTGTATCTGAAATTATCTCCCATTTCAAAATGACAGAGTTTAATTTCTACACACATGCACACAGACGCAATTTTAAATATTGTTCCTTGATAATGAAATCAATTTGATGAAGAATGAATAGAATATTTAAAAAGTCAAACATTGTATATTTATAACAAATATGCTAAAGTCAGCTGCATTTTTGTATAATCTCAAATTATAAATAATAACTTACACATGCTTCCAGATACTCGATTCTTCTTTCCAGTGTTGTAAGTTTTTCATTAAGAACAGCTATTCTTGATCGGCAAGACATATCTAATAAAATAAAACTTATTGATTACTTTTAATAAAATTTTCATATGTCAATGTTTAATTTTATATGTAGATTTAAAGCATCTTTGTTATTTATAACAATTTCAAAAAATGATAGAAGAAAAAATTCAGGTGAAAGAAATGATTTGGTTACATATAAATTCAAAATCATTTGAAATGAATAACTTGTTCAAAAAATCAATAATCTTTAGTTTTGGAGTATGAAAAATTTCTTTAATCTTGTTATTAGTCATGTTATTTTTTAATCAAAATATTTTAATAGGATAAAGTTTAAAAATTATATAAAATAAAATTTATATATTAATGAAACATGAAGTTTTGGACCAAGTCAATAAATACCAAGTATTATACTAATTTTTATGATTCAAAATGCAGTATGGTTTTGATTATTCAAGATCTCCCTAATGTATTAACAAAAAAATATTTGTCCATATCTTATGATTATTTTTTGTCCAATTATTTATTTATTATTATATTTCTTTATTGATGGAAAAAGATTAATATGACAAAATGTCTATAAGTACAAAATTAATAAAATAATAAATTAATATCAATAAAAGAGAGAGCTTATTATTATCTATTACCAGAGTAAATTGATTAATTAAGGTCTTACTACATATTTAATATATGAATAAGAACTATTAACATAATATACAAATATTATTATCATATTACTTTTTAAGCAAGAATATTTTATAGAGTATTTACTTTTAAAACGATTTTAGAAATCTTACTATAGATAAAGTCATATTATTTTTATTTGTGATATAAAATATGAAAAATTGTTATGAAAATATACTAAAATCTATAAATGTATGATCTAAATTATTCTATACTAAAATGTTTTATATTTATAATTACATGATATTTGATGCATGACTTGTCACAAAACTTGAATTATATATATTATGAACATTAAAATCTTAGATTGCACAATAACGAACATCTTTTTAATTTCTCATTTTTGAAAAATTTATATAATTTAATTTACTTTATAATTTTCGAATAATCTGTATATAGAACATTAAGAAAAGGAAGATAAACAAAATATTTAAAATCAAACTCTATGCTAAATGTAATATTCTTATACTTAGTAAGTAAAGTAACAAATGTTTTTGTTTAATACTGTAATATATTAAAAAAATGTATGAAATTCTAATAATTTTATATAAATGTTTATAAAGACACAATAAAATCCAAGTATCACATTGATAATTACATTTGTAACATTAAATTACGTTCTGTTACATGTTTGTTTCGTCAAATAATGAGCAATAACTTGATATTATAATTTTAAGGTATAATAGAAATAAATAATAAATAATTTAAAAGTTGATTATTTCTTTGTATTGAAAAACTAAGGGTAATATACATATAGATGAAAATATAATATAAATAAAACAACTTATGACTTGAAGACATATACCTGAATTATATCTTACCACTTTTGTTGAATAAAAGTATAAATTTTTTATTTATTTTAATAAATATACTTCGAAATTTCGTAATGCTTGTTTTGATATTCTAAATACACAAGATACATAGCATATTTAAAACATCAAATAAATTAAATAAATTCATATGAATGTGTGTTCACAAATGTTTTATTAAGGAGATATGAAAAAAAAAATTTAACATGTATTAAGTGAAGTTAAGTGAAGTCAACATGTATTAAGACACAACTATTAGATATGTTTAATTATAATTCTGTCCAATTTTAATGAAATTAATTCATATGAATCTTTTTCATTTATTTAACCTTGTGAGTATACTTTATTAATTTTGCAGGTATACATACATATATTATTATTAAAAAAATGTTATTCATTGAAAATCAAATTTACTTAGTTTTATTTAAATATCTTCTTAAATAACGTACAATTTCAAATCACTTTTCAAAAAATTTTAGAGTTGATTAAGATTAATTAAAGAATTTTTGTATTTTTTAATAAAATATATCTACTATAAAAGCAATAAATTATGTTTTCGAGTATTTCATTTATTAATTTATTAAACAATTACCGAAGGAATTCAGAAAGTCAGTTATCTTTTTGATGCTACCAGTTATAACTTCAATATATTCTCGGTTTGCCCAATCTTGTTGAATTTGCTTTTGGATAGCCTCTCGATGTACGGCAGCCATGTTTAAAATAATTTGATATTTGAGAAAATTAATTATTACAACATATACTATACGTTTTTTATAAATTTAAATTATAATATAACATAATTTTTAATAATAATTATCGCATTTTTCATATACAAATTCTTTACTTACATATAACAGACAACTATATTTGGATACACAATTATATAACACATGTCCTATTGGTTGAAAACACATGCATATGTACTTCGTTACAAATAATCAATTAATGTGAACATTCAAATAATACATGTAAGGAAGTTTTCTAAGTCATTATACAATTAATTTGTATGAATTGTATTAATACCTATTTATATAAATTATATTTATACTATTTTTAAAGATAAGGATTTCGAAACATATTTTGGTAAAATTCATTAAAAGTATTAAACATGTTTTAATAAAGAGAAAATGGTTAAAGTTAAAGTTAGATTAAAAGTATAGTAAACTACACATTTGTTAAAATTCCTTCGGTAATTGTTTAAATACTTAAATTTATTAAATTCAACGCGGTTTAAAGTAGTTGATTTTTTAATCCTAATTTATAAATTCGAATATAAATTCAAAAATAACTTATATTATTTTTGTCATAATATTAATTAATTTTATTGCAAATTTGTTATTTTATATGTTGCATCAAAAACTATGTTACATTTTTAAATTAAATTGTAATATTGTATGTATAATACTTCTTTTGTTATGTTTGTTAGTTAGAACATTAATTATATTATTTATGTATATTTGCAAATTTATTTATAAAATAATGTATTGTCATTTTGTAATATAAAATAATTGTCCTTTACGTAGAATAAGATATATGTTGGAAATTTATTATTTTTAGAAGATAAACCTAAATATAATAAATATTATTTCAAAGATATTTTCTACATATTTCTTCATTTTGCATCGTGATTTTTATTGTTTATATGGTATGTATAAGCGGAAATCTTTAAATCATATACCTATGTTAGATAAATGAACATACTATGCTTTGCCGACTTAAAGTAGTCTGTTACGGGAGAGGGGCAAAAAGGGTATTCCATTCGCTCTGCTTAACATGCTCGCTCATAGTCCTTACTCTTCTGTGACACTACCGGAACCACTATCTTCAGGTTTAGTAACATTTTACGTTAACATAGGCGTAAGATATTTCTAAAATTCCTATGCTCGAATAATACATCGCAAGCCTACGAATATGAGAGTAATACTGCACGAGCAAAACGTGATTATTTTCACTTATACTTCATAAACATTGAACACATATTTAATATGCGTATGTAAAAACAAGTATAGTTAAATAAAATTTAGAAATAAACATTCATCGGAAGAATCTGAAGTTAACCCTTTAGGGATAAGTTTACGCTTTTGCATCTATTTTTTGCAAGTCTCACTTTGTCACGATATATATTTAGATACAGTGAAAATTATATAATAGTGAAAAATAATTTGACTAGTCAAAATCATTGTACAGTACAATTTTCTCTAATATGGAAACAAAAAGTCAACAGTTAGTAACTGATTTGCTTGATGGAAAAAAACGGTGGTCCTTCGAGGAGTTTTTGACCGAGTTTGATTTACCAAAAGTACATAATAATTTAAATTTTGTTAGTTTTCGCTCGATCTCTGCAGCACTTTTTGATCCGAACGAAATTGAACGAAATGAATGGAGAATTCGAGATATTTTTGACATATTCGATATAGATAAAGACGGCGTATTAAAGGAAGAAGAATGGAAAGTGTAAGTTTGTGTTATTGTTATGTAACTTATTAATGGGTTATTTAATAGTGCGTAACTCCGTTGAGTTATTTAACGTTTATAACGTTAAGATTACGTTATAATGTTCATAATGCTTATAACATAACATGCTTTCTGAACAATATTATAATTTTTTCGATTTGAAACCAACTTCGTACGAGATAGATAATAGGTTATTCACACAAAAATTAATGTTCGAACAAAAAAATTACTGTAATGTAGGGTGTTCATACGAGTAATAAGTATAAAATTCAAATTAATTGAAATATTTTGTATTAATTTTATAACTTTAAGATTAAATAATATTAATTAAATATTTTACTTAATCAATATGTAGATTTTATGAATGGTTACGAGTAACAATTGAACCAGTAGACGCTCTTTTAGTCGTAGACGTCCAAAATGATTTTATTGATGGTTCTTTGGCTCTTAGCACTTGCGAAGCCAAGCAAGATGGAGGTCATGTCGTGGACCCAATTAATCATTTAGTGAAGAATGGACGTTTTAATAAAATTATTTATTCGTTAGATTGGCATCCGGAAAATCATATCAGCTTTTACGAAAATTTACATTTACGAGAATTACATTCAGATTCAAAGGTATAGAAAACAGTTGGAATCAATTATTTTGTTTTAACAGGATTGATGATCTTTTTCTTTATAGTGTGTGATTAATACTTTTTTGCGGAAAAATAATTATGCAAGTAAGACCATAATTTTTTCACTATGTTAAGAATTAATAATTTGTTTAACTGCTCTTCCACCAACTATTTCAAACATTTAAATTCTAACATCTTTTTTGCATGAGATATTCATTTATAATTGAGATAATGAGATAATTATTCATAATTATGTATTGAAGCCAAAACTAAAGTATTTCTATTTATATACTTTTGTTTCAATCAAATTACATTTCATTAAAATAAAACAAAGCATATTCATTTAATATACTACTTCAAATTTAAATATATACGCATGACTTTTTCCATGTTTATCAAATACCATGATTGCTAATAAAAGATAAGGATATGATAAATATTCGTCATCATTTAAAATGTTATTTTAAACCGCTTTTTGCACCTCTCTTTTATTACAAAAGTAATATATAAAAGTAAGTAATAAACTAATACATAGCTTTTGTTTATTTTGTAGGTTTGCTTTGTTCATGATGGAAGTTTAACTAATTTATTTGCTCAAATACTGAGCAACAATAAATAATTGTTGATCATATATGAGACTTGTTCCATGTTTATATTTGTTACTCAAGAAATATTTATATATTGATTATCAATCCTTGTTAAACATAGAATATTTTTTACCTAAAAAACTATAGCATTCTTCTCCTTTTTCTACAAAATATATTTAAAAATTTTTGAGTTTTGAATAAAAAAAATCTTGGATTAAAAAATGACAGGATTTCTGGTTATGGATAGGTGACAAAAGAAAATGCAAAACCACTTGATACAGTAATTTTTGCAAATCCTTATTTGGAGCAAATTTTATGGCCTAAACATTGTGTAATGAACACATGGGGAGCTGAGTTACACAAAGACCTTATAATTGGACCAAATTCTGAACAGGTATTTTCAATTTTTTAGACTAGAACACTATATTTTAAAATTCAAAAAACAAGATCTTAGAATTTCAATTAATCTTTGTTTCGTAGGTACGTAAGGGACAAAACTCAGATATGGAAGCTTATTCCGCGTTTTCCGATAATAATTTTGAGGGTTCAATGGAATTGCAAACAATTCTAAAAAAGGCGGCTGTAAACCGCATTTACGTGTGTGGTCTTGCTTATGATATTTGCGTGAAATCTACATGCTTAGACGGCCTTCGATTGGGTTATGCATTGGCTGTGATTGACGATTGTTGTCGTGGCGTTACGATAGAAAATATCGAAAATACAAAAAAATTAATTTCTGAGAAAGGGGGTTTAATTACTAACATTAACGATGTTCTTGCAATGGTAAACGAGGGGAAACGAAGCCTTGTCATGAGTCACCAATCTGCTAGAAAACTTATTACAATGTTATCTGATCAAGAAATATGAAAATATGAGAAGTATGAGAAAATTGTTGCATGTTGACGCAAACTGTTACATGAGTAAAGCTGCATGATTACTTTAGAAATGGGGAGGATATTTAAAGAATAGAAGTTTGTATTTGTATGATTGAAAATTGAATAATCTGACCTGGTATAACAGTAGAAATGCTTTGAATTTCTTTAAATAACAGCTAAATGGAATGTTTATTTCTTTATGTTTTTCCTTCTAAATATTTTATTATTAATTATACAAATTTGAGTTAGTATTATGTGTATTGTTACATTTATAATGTGTGCGTGATTGTGTGTAATATACGGTAGGAATATTTTGAAGTATTATTTTAATTTAGAATTTGGAATTTGTTTGAAAATTAGCTAATAAATTGCATTTTTTGTCATTTGTGTCGAATTTTAACAAATGGCCGTCTATTCCTCGACAGCTGATTATTTCCAATCAAAATTGCGATCGTTGAAGTAATAGCACTTCTAACCAATTTTGGTATAATTAGTAGTAAGGGGAGGGTTTTGGAGAAAAAATTAAAGAATTATTGAAGAACTATTTTATTTAATAACTAAAAATTATAATGAAAATAAAGTGTAGAGAAAATTGTGAGCTTATCATTTTTACTTATGTTTCCGGAAACCACATAATATACCAGTTCTTCTGAGACGGTTTACCAGAAAATTTACCCTATAGACAAGCTTCTCTATCACACTTTGATATAACAAAAAGTAATTTATGCAATTTCTTAACATATGCATAATTATTATATTAATACTTTTATATAGAATTTTATCAAGTAAATACAGATCGGTTTCAGAAACTTCTCGTTTGTTTGGCGACGATATTTTACTTGTTATAATTAAACTTTCATCTCCCAGTTTCATCACCTTCGACATCCTTGATATTTTCGGGTTAGAAATATAATCCAGTTCTCTAAAATTTCGCTTTATGGTGCTCATGACTCAGTTATCGAAACATTAAGCGAATTTGTAGCAGACACGGAATACAAATTGCCTCAAAATACACGAATAGTGTCGTTAGGAAATATCTGTTTATATAAATGAATTAATCATTTCCACATACCTGAAATTTCTGTATAAATGTATAATTGAATAAAATAATATGCAAACAAAAGGCATTTTATCCTTTCCGGTAAACCTGAAAGTAAGGAATGAATTAAAAGAAGCTGTATGATGTTTTTATTTCGACTGTAAACGAAACTATTTCTAACTTTCCTTAAGAAAGTTCAGGTGACTGGAATGATTGATGTGTCATGCAAATTATTTCTTTATACCTCTTGTGTATTTTAATTAATCTTTAAATATTATCAATAATTAGAAACTGTAGTTACATGTTTTACAAACTACAATTTCATAAATTGATGATATTTCTTGAATTTATTAGAACAAATTACAGGAGTAAATGTTTATAATTATAAAGATAATTTCTGAATGAATTATTATTAATTTTATTAATTTAAGCATAAATTAAGAGAAACTAAAATAAATGTGCTAGTAATGAAAACAAGTCACTTATATAATATTCATACAATAAAGACATCCTTTTTATTGCTATCATGTCACTTTTCTTTCCATCTGAATGTTGTTCACTTGTTCGATGTGCTTTCATTTATGAACCACATAAGACTATCGAGAACTAAGGCTTGTATAGTTTTCTGCGGAACACTCTCTCTCACCTTTTTGGAAAAATGAGTTACTTTCTTTGCTGGATTTGTCTGTGGGACTGTGACATGTTTTTGCTATGACTTTTTATTAATTCTTTCGTATTTTCCTTATTTATTTATACTTTATTTTAATAGAATTATAATTTCTTTGCAATTATTTTAATTGAATATCAACTTGCAGATGCAAATTAATTCACTTTCATTAAGTCATATAAAATTTTTTAACTTCAAGAATAAGAAGTACTCGAGGAAATTATAAAGTGACAAAGAAAGCAAGAATATTCAGGGACATGCTAAACTAATTCATTTCTAGGAAATTATTGAATATTACACTATCTTTATTACTATATTATATACAACATTATATATAAATTTAAAATTGTCTTTAGATGTTCATAGAAGAAAACATTCATAAGTTTTATTTACATTATTTTGTCCTTAATCAAAATTCTTATCTTATTTTAATACATGTTATATTATATTTCATATATTTATATATTGTTTTAGTAAATGAAAGAATAGTATAGATTCATAGTAATATTCCAGATTCAGAAACAATTGCAGACCATATGTATATAGATGTATATAGATAATAATGAAGATTTAGACAAAGTATGAAATTTATATTACTTGGGAATATTAATTTTCAAGTTTTATATTAATAAAAATCTTACTTTTATAAAATACTCTTATATTAACTATAGAATCATGTAGATGGCTTTAATTTATGACTTGGCAGAATGTATTATAGGAGATATAATTCCTCATTGTGGTATTCCACCTGACAGGAAGATGAAGCAGCGGAGAATATTTGTGAACTTCTTGGAGATAAAGGACTCATAATACTAGAAATATTCCGTGTAAGAAAAATTAATAAAGAATTGTAATCAGTAGCTTTTATTTTTGATATTGTTTGCTTTTTATTTATAGGGATATGAGAAACAAGAATCTCCAGAAGCAAAATATGTTAAAGACCTGGACAAATTAGACTTAATTACGCAAGCATATAAATATGAAAAAAGAGATAATAATATTCCTAGAAAATTGGAGGAATTCTTTTTTTCCACTAATGGAAAAATTAGACATTCTTTTATTAAGAAACTAGCATCTGAAATTAATGCAACAAGATAGGCTCTAAATTAGATTCAACTAACTTAACATGAAGCAAAATTTTTATATAACGTACATTATGAAAATAAAATATCATAAATTTTATAATTATATTTAACAATTTCAAAAGAATAATATTTTGGCAATTATGAAGATAAATGTTATCTCACTTCAGAAACATTCAGAATGTTGTACTTCTCTTTACTCGTTACTAAGAATATTTGCGTTATTCTCGAAAATAAAAATGTATTCAAGTGGATTAAATAAATTTGTCTAATAATAACATTTGTAACAAATTTAATTAAACTTATTAAGTGTTGGAATATTGTGACAAACATTTTAATACTTAATATTTACCCTTTGATTTCAGTTATGATAAACAGATATTCGATTTTATCTCCTATATAAATAAAAATCCTATTATAAATAAATAAATATTCGATTTTATTTATAGTAAACATTTTTAATGGAAATTTACAAACTGGTGTGTTTGATAATAAAATACAGAAATCATTAAGTTTTATAATACTTAATAAGATTAATTTGTTAATGTCACAATTTGAATCATAATTGTATCAAACACAAATTAATTTTGTTATTATTTATTAAAAATATACTTTTATGATTTATATTTAACAAATATAATTTTCTTAAGGAAAAAGGTTTATTAAATATACTACATTATTTTTATACAAATTTGAATTTTTACTCAAATTTTTAACTATAGACCTATACAAATTTTTTAATTTTGTAATAATGAACATTATCATTGATATAACATCAAATAATGATAATAAAATACTTCATTACAAAAAATTGTATATTACAAATTTGATAATCTATTTAGAGTAAAAGATAATAGATATCTTACATATATATAGAACAAGTCATGGACTTGTAATAGCAGATCCTAATATTATTATATTACATTTTTGTTATAAAAAATCAGTTAATATTTATATCAGTTTTAGATTCATTTCTCACAGAAATTTTCATATGTAAAGAAACAAAAGTATGCAATAAATTTTCATGGATTAGGATCAAAGCAGGTTAACCAATCAAATGTCAGAATTACTATGCATGATGCAGTTGGTACTTCAATAGAAATTCGCCATTTCTGGTATTTGCATATGGTGCAATTGTGGATTTTGCAGTGATGCAAATTTACGTGTGTCGAATATAATTCATAATTTATATATTTTTGTAGTTCAAATTAATTATGAATAATTTCTAATTTTCATTAGGTTAATTAAAGGTGATTAATGTTGAATGATGCATGAATAAAATGATTACAATTTTTGTTACATTCCAGTTGTTTTAAAGAAAATATACATTAAATAAAAGTGGTATTGAATAATTATGATGATAAATTACATCAAGTGAAATGTAATGAGTATATGAAGTACTAATACAAAGTGCTTTTATTTATAAATAGAATGTAAAAGTTAAAATTTTTTATAATTTGATTAGAATAAACTTGATATTAGTAAATATGTATATATTAACAGTTAAACAAATTTACTTGTTCTATATCTAATTATTTAAAAATTATAGGGCTAATATTAACAAACGTTTCAAGTTTTGTACATAAGTACAAATTTTTGAAATTTATTTAAAATAGTTATTTGTTAATGTCACAATTTGAATCATAATTGTATCAAACACAAATTAATTTTGTTATTATTTATTAAAAATATACTTTTATGATTTATATTTAACAAATATAATTTTCTTAAGGAAAAAGGTTTATTAAATATACTACATTATTTTTATACAAATTTGAATTTTTACTCAAATTTTTAACTATAGACCTATACAAATTTTTTAATTTTGTAATAATGAACATTATCATTGATATAACATCAAATAATGATAATAAAATACTTCATTACAAAAAATTGTATATTACAAATTTGATAATCTATTTAGAGTAAAAGATAATAGATATCTTACATATATATAGAACAAGTCATGGACTTGTAATAGCAGATCCTAATATTATTATATTATATTTTTGTTATAAAAAATCAGTTAATATTTATATCAGTTTTAGATTCATTTCTCACAGAAATTTTCATATGTAAAGAAACAAAAGTATGCAATAAATTTTCATGGATTAGGATCAAAGCAGGTTAACCAATCAAATGTCAGAATTACTATGCATGATGCAGTTGGTACTTCAATAGAAATTCGCCATTTCTGGTATTTGCATATGGTGCAATTGTGGATTTTGCAGTGATGCAAATTTACGTGTGTCGAATATAATTCATAATTTATATATTTTTGTAGTTCAAATTAATTATGAATAATTTCTAATTTTCATTAGGTTAATTAAAGGTGATTAATGTTGAATGATGCATGAATAAAATGATTACAATTTTTGTTACATTCCAGTTGTTTTAAAGAAAATATACATTAAATAAAAGTGGTATTGAATAATTATGATGATAAATTACATCAAGTGAAATGTAATGAGTATATGAAGTACTAATACAAAGTGCTTTTATTTATAAATAGAATGTAAAAGTTAAAATTTTTTATAATTTGATTAGAATAAACTTGATATTAGTAAATATGTATATATTAACAGTTAAACAAATTTACTTGTTCTATATCTAATTATTTAAAAATTATAGGGCTAATATTAACAAACGTTTCAAGTTTTGTACATAAGTACAAATTTTTGAAATTTATTTAAAATAGTTTTTAAATAAAATTTTATACATTTCTTTGGCATATTATGTACTCTTACAATCCCGTTATTTTTGTCAGGTACATATTTTATGTCAAGGTTGTTATGATTTTGGGAAGATATCGTCTTTTATCAATAGTTAACTATACATGTGTATTATCTAAAAAGCAGTGGATTCAAAATTGTATAGTTAGGCCATATTTGCCTCAAACTACTTTTATATCACTAACTATACATCATTTAAACAGGTAGAATATTTAAACATGAATTTATGTAATATTTATAATTTTTTGTTTAATAAAAGTCTATTAATTTTTGCTTACACTAATATTTATTTTTATATTGTAAATAATGTAGAATATAATATAAAAATACCTTATCAATTTAATTAACATAAGATTAATTTTCTATATTCTACCATCAGATTATGTTTAAAAATATTTACACTTTAACTTTTTATATTTTGATATTTTTGCACAAGAACTACATAAAAGTGTTAATGACAACACGGAAGATATTTTGAAAATTAGATATTAATAATATCTAATAGATTGTAATATTTTATATAATATATTTGCTGAGATTAATGATATGCTTATCAAATGATTTATAATTTAATTATTTTTTCTATATATCAATAAACATTTCAAGTATATGAAAATCAATAGATCGTATTGATATGTAACTCATTATGATTTAATAGTAGAATATGTTATTGATGTAATTAAATTATCAAAAATTTTATTTAATGATATTAATGAAAATATGTGTTGTTCTGTTTCTTAATGTCATTTGTATTTAATAATTACTATTTACATACCTTTGTCTATTATCATTTAACAATACATATGTTTTAAATCTTTTATTTATAATGTTTATATGTATTTTATAAATATATGCATAAAAATCATATATATTGATCAATAAATAAACAATTTTCTAGGATAGATAAAAAATCATTTAATCTTATGTTATTTGCAAATATGGCATCAACAAGTAATCCTACAAATACACAAATATTGAAAAAGAATCGTTTGAGTTTGGAGAAATCACCATATTTATTACAACATGCTACTAATCCAGTTGACTGGTATCCATGGTGTGATGAAGCTTTGGAGAGAGCAAAGAAAGAGGACAAATGTATTTTTTTATCTGTTGGTTATTCTACATGTCATTGGTGTCATGTTATGGAGAAAGAATCATTTAAAAATAAAGAAATTGCTGAAATAATGAACAAGAATTTTATTAACATAAAAGTAGATAAAGAAGAGAGGCCAGATATTGATAGGATATACATGACTTTTATACAAGTAAGTAATTAATTATTTGTATTCATTACTTATGATTACTTGTATTTTAGAGTACATTTTAAACAAGTGTGATATAAATTAAAGATTATTTGATATAGGCTACCAGTGGTCATGGTGGATGGCCAATGAGTGTTTTTCTTACTCCTAATTTAAAACCAATAGTTGGAGGGACTTATTTCCCTCCAGAAGATACATATAGACAAATAGGATTTAAAACAATTTTACTCAGAGTTGCCCAAAAGGTATAAATATCTTAGTTTTTGAGAATTATGTAAAATATTTTAGATATGTAATGCTTAATAAACAATTCATATTTCGTTTATTTAAATAAATATATTATCATATGCTATATTTAAATTAACAGTTCATTAAAATTATACTAATATAAAATTATTTTTTTTACATTTTACATTTTGTAGTGGCATCAATCTAGAATGAAAATTGCAGAAGTTGGATCTATTAATCTTGAAAGATTACAAAATATTTCTAAAATTACACATATATCTACGGTAAATGAGTAAAGTAAAATAAATTTTATATTTTTGTTTAAGGCATTTTAATAACGAAGTTATGTTTATTATTTATGTATAATATTTTTTTTATATAGACACATGAAATACCTTCACCTGAATGTAGTAAAATATATATTCAACAATTTATAAATGAATTTGAACCTAAGTTTGGTGGATTTGGTTCTAAATATAATATGCAATCACCAAAATTTCCGCAACCAGTAAATTTCAATTTTTTATTTCATATGTATGCACGTCAACCTAATGGAGAATTTGCAGACTCTTGTCTGCATATGTGTGTATATACTTTAAAAAAAATATCTTATGGTGGCATTCATGATCATGTAGGTCAGGTAAGAATTTTAATTCTAAGTTTGTGAATAATTATAACTGTTCGATAAAGATAAGTACTAATGTTCACTTTTGCTTAAATTTATTGTTATTATTGTTTTATTAATATTTTAATAAAATATGTTATAATATTAAAATTTGAAGTATTAAAAATTTTGATACATGTTTTTAAGAATATATGGTTGATTTGTAAAAGTTTAGTAAAAGTTTTTCTTAAAGTGTATTATGATTGTCAAATAAACATATACAAGATAGTTATAGAAGTATTACCTTTAAGTAATTAATATAACTAAATATAATTATAAGTTCCAAACATCAGAGTTCGATCTAAAGTGAAAATAAATATTCATTTAAAGTTAGAGATATTATAGATATGATGTATTTTATAAATTGATGAAATTATGTTAATAAGTAAACAGAATACTTGAGAACTCTTATATCAATGTGAAATTTTAAGAAACAGCATATTAACATTTATAGTGATGTTGCTTATAATAGGAACACATTGTATATCATTATATTTATAAAACTGGAATACATTTTATTTTTACAATGTAGGAATCACAGACTGATTTAATTAATTTATAATAATAATGTGTATTATTTTCTATTAGGGCTTTTCAAGATATGCTACTGATGGTGAATGGCATGTTCCTCATTTTGAAAAAATGTTATATGATCAGGGCCAATTAATGAAATCGTATACAGATGCATATCTTGCAACTAAAGATAATTACTTTGCTGAAATTATCGATGATATCGCTACCTATGTGATAAGAGATCTTCAACATAAGGTATAATTTTTATCCTGTCTTAGAAATGGCATGTATGTTCATATTTATTTATTTTATATATTTTAGGAAGGTGGATTTTATAGTGCTGAAGATGCAGATTCTTATCCTACATATGATGCACAGAGTAAAAAGGAAGGCGCTTTTTATGTATGGACTGCTGCAGAAATTAAGTCACTTTTAAATAAAGGAATTTCTGATAGAAATCACATTAAACTTTCGGATATTTTTTGTCATCATTTCAATGTAAAGAAGTCAGGAAATGTGAAATCATATCAAGTATGTTATATATTTGCAATGTAATATTATATAAAGTCCATTATTTAATTGTAACAAATCATATTTTTTATCTAGTTAATTATAGTTACATAGTTGTAGTTTTGACTGATTTACTATATATGTATCATTTTTTATATCATATCTATATCTTACGTATTTATTTACTTAACTAATTTTTATTTATGAGGATCCACATGGAGAACTAGAAGGGAAAAATATACTAATAATATTTAACGAAATAGAAGAAACTGCTAACTACTTTAACCTTCCTGTTGAAGAAGTTAAGATGCTTCTGAAAGAAGCATGTTCCATCTTATACAAAGCTAGATCTGCAAGGCCACGACCTCATTTAGATGATAAAATTATTACAGCGTGGAATGGTAAAAGAGTTAAGAACAATGTCTTTCTTTTTACATATATTTTATATTAATAGATAATATTTCGTTTGTTAAACCAATAAGTAATTTGAATTTAGGTCTTATGATAAGTGGTTTAGCTTCTGGTGGAGTAGCAGTGAATAATAAACAATATATCGAGAGTGCAGTAGCTGCTGCGAAATTTATTAAACGATATCTTTTCGATAAAACCAAAGATATGTTACTTCATAGTTGTTATCGCGATGAAAAAAATACAATTACACAAATGTGGGTACATTAGTATGGTTAAATTGTGCATTACAATACATATTTATACATTTTATTTTTAGGAGTACACCTATACCTGGTTTTTTAGATGATTATGCATTTGTTATAAAAGGATTATTAGATTTATATGAATCTAGTTTAAACGAGGAATGGCTGGAATTTGCTGAGCAATTACAAGATTTACAAAATCAATATTTTTGGGATGAAACAAATGGTGGATATTTTACAACAACATCAAATGATCCTTCGATAATTCTCAGGCTTAAAGAAGGTATATTTAAATACTCTTGGAATAATTTTAGCTTTAACAGTTATATATTTTGGTAATTAATATTTTCATGGATTTATATTATACGTGTAGTAGATCTATGAAATCAAAGAAACCAACATTCTGTAGCAAAGCTCAGCGTATTTAAATATTTATAGCAGTGTCTGTTCAGTGTTTCATTACGTCCAGTCGTTAAGTTAATCAGATTGCGCTTACGCCTAACTTAATATTAGGCCATAAAACGAATGTAAGAGAAAGATTGAATATATTTTAAGATTTATAATCTTATGTATAGCTTATGACGGAGCAGAACCTTCTGGTAATTCAATTGCCGCCGAAAATTTACTAAAGTTGGCAGATTATTTAAATCGTAGTGAATTCAAGGATAAAGCAGTGCGGCTTTTCGAAGCATTTAGACACTTGCTAATAGAAAAATCTGTTACAATTCCACAATTAGTATCGGCGTTTGTACGCTATCACGATGATGCAACGCAGGTAATGCATAAATATATCAAGAATGTTAAATATTTTCAGGAATTTGACAAGTTTTTGAAATTATCGCATGTAAATTTTGTTGTTTAGATTTACGTGGTTGGAAAGAGAGATGCCAAGGACACTGATGATCTACTTCGCGTTATATATACACGTTTGATCCCAGATAGGATTCTTCTCTTAATTGATCACGATGAAACAACTAGTATGATATTTCGTAAAAACGAGCATCTCAGAAATATGAAAGCTGTGAATAATCAAGCAACGGCTTATGTATGCAAACAACGTACGTGTTCCTTGCCCATTACGAATCCTGAACAATTAGCAACGTTGTTAGATGATCGATAACAAGAAAAAGATTCGTATTGATTAGTACTTAAATGCAATAAGAAATAGATCTGTAATTTTTGTTTTATTTAATAGTAAGATTAACAAAATAATAAAATATGGTAATCAAGTTATACGTATTATATCATATTTTACAAGTGAAATTTGTTATTATATTATTATTAATTTAATAATACTCGTCGAACATGTTTGTTAATATTTTTTGTTTCAATAAACTAATGCGTAAAAATATGTTGTATTCATTTCGAATTTCTATATTCAATGATTCGAACTAACATTACAAAGATAATAGTTGCGATCAAAAATAAATATATCCATTTTATAGATCTATTTTATAAATCAATATAACACGATGTGTTCTTATATATTGGTTCTTGGTCATTGGTGGACTTTTGTTAGGAACGATACATAATACGGTGCCTACCGCAAAATCTTGTGTTAAATTCCAACCGAAAATAGACACAGTATATAAACCACTAGAGGAAGAGAGAGAGAGAGAGAGAGAGAAACAGAGAGAGAGAGAGGGATTGGAAAGGACGTCGAGAGGAGAAAGCGGGAAGTTGAAATGAAAAGCACCAAAAATTTCGTATTAAATTTATATATCGTTTTTCATTTATAAATGTATAATGACAAAAATATGCATATTAACAAATTTTTAATATAACGGTCAAGTTATAAATAAAATTGTAACTCTTAGTTACCGACGTTTGCACGTACCTCAACCCGTTAAAATGTTGCTTCAGATGATCTTCTTTAAAGTTGGGATTTGGGAAATCACGTATCGACGATGACTCGTCGTTAACCTAAGTATCCGTTTCGCGAAGTAAAATGACACACAGTTTACTATAAATAACATGTTCCGGCCATTGATTAATACGGTTTCCGAGGATTGGAATGAGTGTCTAACGAAAATCAAGTCCGACATGTAATACCGACAAGATAAAATGCATCGTTTTAAAAAAGAAAGGAAAGCACCCTTGCCACTTTATTGGCAATGAAAACGGAAGCGACAAGATCTGAAGAGGAGCCGTGAGGCCATCTCCTGTCTGCTTGCTTGCCTCCTTGGCTGCTTCTGATTATCTCTTCCTTTCTTCTTCAGTTCGAGTATATTATCTACGACAGGGAGGTCACGCCGGACGAAGAGGGGAACTTAAAAAGGGGGAGAACGAGAGCGGAGAAGTAGGAGGATCTGCTGATCTTCTCGAGGGAGGATGCAGAAGGTCGTGAAGCGGATAAGCAAGAGACGCCTAGACGGAAGGGTCGCGCATGCGTTCCGTTTAGTCGACAAGGATGTTCGACGTTTTTTTCAGTCACCGGTCGACGCTGCGCCGGGCACCGTCGACGCGCACGTTCGGGTGTAGTTTGATATGGATCGTGGTTCTTATAATAATTTCTTCGAGTAGGCTAATTTACGGTTGCGTTAGTCGCGTGCTATCAGTTCCCGACTCAGGAGCGGAGGAAGATGGGTCCCCAGTGAAGGGCAAGCTGGATCGTTTCTAACGAGCTGCCACGCGACATACCACGCGCCACTCACGCGCTTTGCCTTTCCATCTTGCTGCCAAAAGTGTCTCCCTTCGGACGAATTTCGCGCATTTTACACGATAGGTGTTCTCTTCTTGCTTCTCGTTGTTCCTCAACCTTCTTTCCCGTTATCGATATCTTCGTAAACCTTCCTGTATCGTTCTCGACAATCATTTCCCGTCGACCCGATCGCGAGTGATCTCGCTTGGTAGCAGGTGAGCGGACCGAAGCGAGCGTACGAGAGGGCACCCGAAGGTGAGAATTGCAGGTGAGAGAAACCGGGCAAGCGCATCGCGAGGCTCACGGTTACGCACCTGGATTTTACTGCTGCCGCTACTTCAACGTAAAATGCGGCCAGTGGATGTGCGGCAGCTTCTTCGATCCCGAGACTTTTGCGAGCAAAAGCACGGTGCATGTTTCTGCCGGTAGAGTATACGAGAAGCGTGTTCGGATTGCTCGTATCGATATCGGACCGATAGGTAACCGAACCGAACCTGATTACGGGTCCTCGATGTCGTTCATACTTGTCTACCCGGTCTCGTCGTTCGGAACAGCGACGTGTACGTTGTCGCTCGGGAAAAATCTTCGCTGTGATAAATCGTCCAGCAAGCCTATCTGGAAATCTGTTCCACGCTACGTGTCGAGTTACCGTTGAACGCTCCGATTCGTCATCCTCGCGTCTGCTGGACGAGATATAAGCCGGAAAGCATGTCGTTGCATTATCCCCAAGGATATCGGTACCGTCCGGCGACTAAAGCTGCCGGGACAGGAAATGGCGAGCAAGGTTCTGACAGTGACGTTGCCGAACTCAGTGATCTCGAGGACGACGAGGACGAAGATGGGGGTGGTCAGTCGACCAATAGACGTGTCGTTCGACGGCACGAGGAGGAAGAGGAGGAAGACGACGACGAGGAGGACGACGACGACGAGGACGACGAGGATGACGAGGATGACGAGGATGACGAGGATTTAGACGAGGAAGACGAGAACGAAGATTATGGCGTAGACATAGATGGCGACGAACTACCCTATCCTGGTTTCGTGCCGGTTGCACTCCGATACCTCGACCAGAATACACGACCGCGCAACTGGTGTCTGGCGCTCATCACTAATCCATATCCTTTTGGATCGTAACGACTAGTGTCTGTCGTTTAGAAACCGTGATATCGTTATTTTCATTCCGCTTTGCCTGTGAACAGCTTACCACGATTATTCCAGCCCGCGAGACGAAATAAGTAAGTTTCATTGCACGCTTTCCGCGCTACCGTTAACTCCAACGGTGGCTTTCTTTGCGATTTATTTTCTCTCTATTCTCTCTTTCTCTCTCTCTCTCCTCTCTCTCTCTTTCTCTCTCTCTCTATCTATCTATCTATTTCTTTTTCTCCCCCTACTCTTCTCCCTCCATCTTTTCCCGATCTCAGTCTCGCTCGTGAAGCATCTTTATTAAAAGCTTGAAATATTTCAAAGGTTCGTTCGAATTTATTTCGTACTCGATAGAAAAACGAATCATTTTTATTCTCGACTTTCACAAACCCGTTCCCTTTATCTTTTTTTTCTTTTTAATCCTTCCATTACGGTTCGGACAGTTTATTATTGCTATTCGAGTGGAACCGTATCACGGATAAAATGTGATTATCGAAAATGAAAATTTCGCTCTTTCGACCTTGTTTGTTTGTATAGTCTCATCGTATATGTATAATATATACGTATAGGTTGATAAAACGAGAACGTCTAAGATGTTACCTTTCGCGAGATATGAAACATACTTTACCGGTGTGAGTCTCAAGGTCAGTATTTTTTGTTTGTGAAAAATCTATTCCTGTCTTTGCCGTTGTTTAACACTAAATCTACCATGGTGATAATGACCCGTGATTGGAAAGGAAGCAGAAGCTTTAAGAAATGGATTAATGGGAGATATCGAGGAAATAATTATACGTGTATCGGAGGCAAAATCGCGATGACGAGTGATTAAGAAGATAAGCTTGAATGTTGAATTTTGAATGAAAGTTTGGGAACGGTGATTTAGGCTATAGTAGGTTTAGTGTTAATACCACGAGTATTTAAAGCTTTACAAGGACCTCTTTATCGCCATGTGCATTTGCACATACTATACTTTCTTTGACTGTAAAGTCGACGTCGGTTGCTCACGAATTTTTATTCTGTCAAAAATATTCTTCTCTCTTTACCATTATTTAATATCGCAAGTATCCCAAGCTTTACAAGGGCCCCTTTATCGCCCTGTGCATTTGCACACACTATACTTTCTTTGACTGTAAATTCGACGTCGGTTGCTCACGAATTTTTATTCTGTCAAAAATATACTTCTCTCTTTACCGTTATTTAATATCGCAAGTATCCCAAGCTTTACAAGGGCCCCTTTATCGCCCTGTGCATCTGCACATACTATACTTTCTTTGACTGTAAATTCGACGTCGGTTGCTTGCTATAATTCTTGCTATAATTGCTATAATTCTGCCAACTGTCACCAAAAATTTTGCGTAATTATTGGATATTATATCGGATATTAGAATCGTGTACTTGGGTACAGTAACGACAAGCAAGTGATATATTCGAGTTTCTTATCTCGTAATTGATGCTTGCCGAAAAGCGAATATTCTTCGTGAAACGATTATTATATCAGTTTTATTGAAACTGTAAACTTATTTAACCTATTACGTATAACTTGTTTCGCACGAGTATTGACCCTATTTAGCTTCGAAGCTAAAGAAACGAATATTTCTTAACTCTCTGCACTCGACGATTGTTTCGCTACAGGGGAGTAGAAATTTAAAGATTTTCTGCTATAAAGCTGACGATGTTTTTAGCACGGTAAATAAAACATATAATAGTTAACACGTGGAATTATTTAAGTTCAATAGGTCGCACGCTATTACATTATCTTAAATTTAATACATTAATATCGATCTTCAAAATATTACTAAATGACAACCGAGTTTAAGAAAAGTCGCCTTTCGAGTTTAAAAAACTGGTTAAGAGAGCTTTTAACATAATATATCTGGCGTATTATAGTAAATTCCACGAATTAGTCTTGCTTAATATTATACAGCATACCTATTTTTAAATTCTCCTCTGATTTTTAAATTTTATAATCCGCCATTTTCCCGTAATTTTATTTTCAAATATGATAATATTGCTCCAAAAAGTTGTAGCCGATCCAAATCTCTATTCGAATATAATTCTGCCTGTTTTGATACGTACAATTAGAGCTCGATTAATAATAGACATTATCGAACACAACAGGTAGGCCAGACTAAACAAGATACTAAATTTCCAACGCGAACTCGAGTCTCAAAATATTGCAATATTTTCGGCCGATAAATTTGCAACGCGACGTTAATCGATCCTCATTACGAATCATATTTTTAGCAAGTCGCTAATCCAGGAAATAAAACTTCGAAATGGTGCAGGCTTCCGCGTTCGCGGCCTTAACTGCCCGCCATTATACTCGAGCGCGGAGATTATAGATGGCAGATACTGTACATCGGCGCAGCGTTGCCATCGGAACGCTGTCGCGTTGCATTGGTAAGAAGAAGTCGGTAGGGGAAAAAAGGAAGATGAAAAATGGCGACCCGTACGTAGACCCGAAGTCTCGTGCCATGGTGGTAGCAGAGTGCGCGAGGTCGGACTGAAGGCGTTTTAAATAGGTCATTGATTGACCTATCCCCAGGCGAATCCCAGTGTGCTTGCACGGATACTACCACACGACTGACACGTCTGCCTACGTATTTCTGCCTCCTCCTTCTGCTGTGCCCGCTCTGTATACGTGTCTGTTTGTGCGCGAAATTGCGGGGTGTGCAGGACGCACGTGGTCGGCGGGCAAAGTTTAGTCAGCTAGCATCCGAGCAACAAGCGTCGCTAGAAAGATTCCCATTGTGCACGCGGACAATGGGCGGCTGGAACTACTGCGAATGCGGGCCAAGCATTTCGCAATTCTCCGCCGCTTTTATCCCTCTCTCGTTTGCCCGTAGAAATTGAACAAACGTTCTCTTGTACCTTTCCCTATACCTTTTCCCTATACCTTTTCCCTGCATCTTTTTTCCCTATGCCGTTTCCCTAGGCCTTCGACCAACGCTTATCTACCGGGCAGCTGGGATTTCTTGTCACCCCTCGCTGTCACCGATGGCCACTTCCTTTCGACCTTTCACCGGAAGTACGCTCGTTTTCCGCGACTCTTCCAATAGGGGAATCTTCTTTCTCGAATATTTTTTCTCCTCTTTTCTCCTTTATCTTTTCACCCAATTTTTGTTTTCTTTCCTACGAATTTTATTTTATTTTTGCTTCTCCGGTTCGTGATATATATATATATAAATAAAGTTGAAATATTTCAAAGACAATTCTTTATACTGGTTTTGACTTAAATATTTGGAGCAATGTGGTTTCGAAATTTCTTATGACCCGTCGCTGCTGTTGATGGCCTGTTATACTTTCTTCCAGCCTTTCAACGGAAGTGCGGCCATTTTCTTTCACCCTTCGAATCTTCATATCTTTTTCTTCAAATTTTTTTTTCTTCTCTTTTCTCTTCCCTTTTGTCCAAACTTTTGTTTTCTTCGTTTCGGTTTTTATTTCCATTTTTCTTCCTTTTCCTCGTGTCCGTGAAAATGAAACAATGAAAATTTTATTCTTTCGTTCCGATTCATTTATTTCGATTTATCGTAGCAAATACAACCAGTTGTTCGAATAATTAAGACGTATTTCTCTTTGGCTGTAGTAATACAATTTCCGAAGTTACAATTTGGACCAGGATTTCATCTCTTAACTCTTTCACGAGAAAGCGTTTCGGCAGCGTTAAGACGAAGTTCCGTTTAACTCACTAGCGCCACCACACCTCGTATCTACGATAAACGTTTATCGTTAATATCGTATATATCGTGGACGTATTTTCTAATTTTATTTATATAATTCTGCGATTTTCTACTTACCACGTGTATCATATTGTTTGCGCAATATTGTTCTCGCAAATTTTTCGATCATTCTTGGTCGACCATACTCGTGCAGGAATTAAACTTACGAAGTTATAGTAAGTGGAAAAAATATATTTGCACATCTTTGCCTATCCTACAATGACGTGTCACTGACGTGAAAAATCTTTTCTATATATCTATCCTTATACGATAAGAAGCAAGTAATTAACAACGTCGATCTAATAATTTTCCCAACAATTTTCCCAACAATTTTTAACATAATATCTTTGCACTAAAATGACGAGTCCAACTCGTGACGAATCCATCATGTCAAATCTCACGATCGTAAGCTACACTGATTAGTGTGATTACGTGACCATAAATTACATTTCACACGTTTTGACGTGCACGAAATTCGAATAATTTATCAAATTTTTATTCGACTTTATCTTTAATAGGATAAGTATACAGTGGTTAACCAAAATTGAATACTACCTCGATGCATACTTTTTCATAATTAAATCGCAGTGCAAGGGGTTAATAAACCGATATTAACCCATTTGCATCATAAGTGCATATATGAGCGGAATTTTTCTGGCCATCATCACTGAATCGCAGATAATATTTTGTGCATAAGAACAGAACTTATGTGCATAGTTACAGAACGCATGCGCGCTATTTTGTACCAGAGACAGTGTTTATAGCACAATTATTATTTTAACCCTTTGCACTCGAGAGGTGACTCTCAGTCACCATTTAATAAAATTCTAAAGATCGACATTAATTAATATATGAAATATAAAATTACCTAACGATGTGTCGAATGTCGAAGAAAAATAACTGTACATCTTACTTTGCATATGATTTCTCATTTACCATTTTAAAAATATCATCGACTCTATGACAGAAAGTCTTCGAATTACTATTTTTCTATAATGAAAAAGTCGTCGAGTGCAAAGGGTTAATACCTTTATTTTCGATAATTCTAAAGACTTTATTATTTTCTATTACGACTGCAAACTATCCACACAGATAGAGCATTTCGCGTTTTCGAACAAAAATTAGCAGAAGAAATAATCGAACGAAATAAACGAAAACTAAAAACATCGACAACACAAGAAATTATAGCACGTCCATCATTACCATCAAGACTTACTGGCCGCCATTTTCTAATACCTATTGAAACAACTTGA